TATATTTTGAACAGGTGTCCAACAAAGAGTGTTTGTGATAAAACACCAGAAGAAGCTTGGAGTGGAAGGAAGCCCTCAATCCGGCATCTCAGAGTTTTTGGGTGTATAGCATATGCCCATGTACCAGATCAACTCAAAAAGAAGCTTGATGACAAAGGAGAGAAGTGCATTTTCATTGGTTATAGCACCAACTCAAAGGCGTACAAGCTTTATAATCCAGTGACAAAGAAGGTAATTATCAGCAGAGATGTGACCTTTGATGAAGAAGGAATGTGGGATTGGTCTTCCAAGCCCCAAAAGGAGCCTGCAATAATTCCAGAAAATTATGAAGAAGAGGATAGACGTGCAGATCCAACACCTGATGAGCCAGAAACATCGAGCAGACTACAAAGGCAAAGGAGACTACCAGCCAGATTAGAGGATTATGTTTTGGGTAATGATAATGACCCATCTGATGAAGAAATTATCAATTTTGCCTTATTTGCAGATTGTGAGCCTGTAACTTTTGAAGTAGCTTCAAATAATCAACATTGGAGAAAAGCAATGGATGAAGAAATTCATGCCATTGAGAAGAATCAAACATGGGAACTGGCAGACTTACCAGCAGACAAAAGACCAATTGGAGTGAAGTGGGTGTACAAAACTAAGTACAAGCCCAGTGGAGAAATTGAGCGTTTCAAAGCAAGGTTGGTAGCAAAAGGGTACAAACAAAAGTCAGGTATTGATTATTTTGAGGTATTTACTCCTGTAGCGAGATTAGATACAATTCGTATACTTATCTCTCTATCAGCTCAAAATAATTGGAAAATTCATCAAATGGATGTTAAATCTGCTTTTCTGAATGGCACTTTGGAAGAAGAAGTATATGTTGAGCAACCTGCAGGATATGAAGTTGAAGGAAAAGAAGATAAAGTCTACAGATTGAAGAAAGCATTGTATGGCTTGAAGCAGGCACCCAGGGCATGGTATAAGAAGATTGATTCTTACTTTGTTGAGAATGGATTTCAGAGATGTCCATTTGAGCACACATTATATGTTAAATTCACTGAGGCTGGAGACGTTCTAATCGTGTGTCTTTATGTTGATGATTTAATTATCACTGGAAACAATTTGAAGTTGACTGCAGAATTCAGGGAGGCTATGACACGCCATTTTGAAATGACGGATTTAGGATTAATGTCCTATTTTTGGGCATTGAGGTTGATCAGCGAGATGATGGAATTTTTATTTCTCAAAAGAAATTTGCTGGTGATATTTTGAAGAAGTTCAAGATGGTGAATTCAAAACCAGTTTTTACGCCAGTTGAAGGAAAGTTGAAGCTGACGAGTGACATTGGAGGCAAGAAAGTCAATCCAACTCTCTATAAAAGTTTGATTGGAAGCCTCAGATATTTAACTGCAACCAGGCCAGATATTGTCTATGGAGTTGGACTATTCAGCAGATTCATGGAGAAGCCTCGAGATTCTCATTGGCAGGCAGCTAAAAGAATTCTCAGATACATCAAAGGTACTCTGACAGAAGGAATTCTCTATGATAAAGACATTGATGTGAATCTCGTTGGATATACAGATAGTGATTGGGCAGGAGATATAGAGACGAGAAAGAGCACGTCAGGGTATGCATTCCATTTTGGAAGTGGTGCAATATCATGGTCATCAAAGAAGCAACCGGTGGTGGCACTCTCAACGGCCGAACCAGAATATATAGCAGCAGCAAGTTGCGCAACCCAAGTAGTGTGGCTGAGAAGAATACTTGAAGTGATGCATCAAAAGCAGGATACTCCCACAAAAATATTTTGTGATAATAAGTCTGCAATTGGATTATGCAAAAATCCTGTTTTTCATGGAAGGTCCAAGTACATTGATATTCGATTTCATAAGATTCGGGAACTAGTAGCAGAAAATGAAGTGGAGATTGATTATTGCCACACGGATGAACAAGTTGCAGATATTTTTACGAAGCCGTTAAAAGTTGAGTTATTTTACAAATTGAAGAAGATGCTTGGTATGATACAAACTTGACTTAAGGGAGGCAATGTTATGAATTAAGTCAAGATTTGTGTGCATTGAAAATGTCAAAGTTTGCTACGCCGTTTGTTTACTTGTTTGCTTGTGAGATTTGTAAATCTTCAAATGTTGAAGATTGTCAAAATAAGAAACTGAAGAATAGGCTATATGTCAGGCTACGTTTGAATAATTGATATTTACTATTTTGTTTTATTGTAAGTGAATAGTCTATAAAAGGCAGTAGCATGTACGAGGAAATACACATCAATTGAGTGAATATTTTTTAGCAAATGTTTCTTCCTTTCTTCCTTTATTGTATATGAGTGAGAATTTGTGAGTTGAGAGATAAATAATCATGTCTCTGTACCAACATTCAACAAGTATTTATTCTATTCACAGTAAATAATCTTTTATACAGCTCAATAAATACAACACTTGTTACAATTTTTACCTTTTCTTTATAAAATTCAAGGTCACATTAAATTACATGCATGTATTACTGTAGCTATAAATAAATTGTAAACAATGAACTTTTTTTTATCAAAGTCGCCATAAAAAATGTTTTCCAATATTCTTGTAATTCTTGCGACTCTTGGATATCGGGTCTTTAATATTATTCATCACAAATTCGTATATTTTTTTCTATTTTTAAATTGACTAATTCAACCCCTCCCCGTTTTATGTAATTTTAATTATGAAAAAAATATATAGATCATTATTGAAACAAATATTGTATCCTCTATCAAATTTATATACGTTATATAAATTAATGATAATATTTATAATATTAAATAAATTATCAATGTTGTCTGTAATTTTCAAGCATGCATTAAAATAGTATGTTTGCATAGCCCAACATTCAACATAGAACTAATGATGTCAAGGTATTTTTCAAAGACTCATTTGATATACTAATTTATGTGTTAGGGACTAATTTGATGGTGTGAAACATTGGAGGTCAGTTTTATGATTTGAATTGTGTTAAAAATTATGTTTTTGCACATTATGTTTTCATAACAAAAAAAATGTTACATCTTGTTATTACAGACTAAAACATAGTTGTCTTCTTGACACAATAATTAACTAAACTTCCGTAATTAGCAACCTCAAATTACAAAGAAAAAATAAATTCCACCTTCAAAACAGGTCACTTGTTACCAACCCTCATTCGTTTACCCTAAGCAATCTCACTATTAGTGGTGTTATGCCAAAAAGGAAAACATGTTTTAAAGTAATTTTGTGTACAGATAATGAAAAAAAAATAGAATGAGTTCAAAGAAAAAAAATGTCACTAGGAAAATTATGCAAAAAGGTGACGTGTATATAAGCGATTCATAAAAAATAAAAAAAAAGGGCCGTAAATCACAACGGAAAAAGTCATTGATGCAATAGTGAAAGACATATAAAAATTATGTGTGCATAAGATAAGGCTCAACATTTAATGTTTGAAGGCAAATTCCAATAAATAATGCAATAATCAAATTCGTAATATTTAACAATTCAAGTAAATCATCAAATTCATTCCTAATGTACTACACATTCATCAAGTTAATCACTAACATATTAATTTATACATCAAATGAGTTTTTGAATAACACTTTAACAAAATTAACGAGCTACATAACTTTTTTTTTATTAATAAAATTAAAAAATTACAATGATAGAACCTGATTTAAAAGATGACAGTATAAATTTTCTTAATGTATAAATTAATTTAACAAATACGTAAAATATTAAGGAGGGAGTAAATAATTTACTCTCAAATGAATTTGGATGTTGAAATTTCAGGGTCTAACGATGCTCCTGGTCGACGTTTCTATCCATTTCTTTGACCAAAATTTCGACGTCGTTTTTGTTTTCTTCCCAATCAATAGTCACTTTCCTTGCATTACCAATTTTCCAACAAATTATCTGTTAGTTTTCTTGGTCTATTGAGTTTTTTGTTTTTCTATGGGAAGGGGTCCACTCTTCTGAATTTTTCGTCCTCCTTAAGCCTTCGAGGTGGTCCACGTATGACACTGTCTCTGCAGATTCTATCGTACTAACATGTGAAACGCATGTTTAGAGAAAGTACGAATTTTTCGTTTATTTTTATAAATTTATCAATATGAGTTATTTAAATAAATTTATGTTAATTTATTTCGATAATTTTTATGTTTAAACTTATGTTATAAGTCTTCATAAAGATGTGTTAAATAAGCACTCCACCTTGATTATTAATACATAGTTTTTCTTCTTTTGCAGTGTAGCGTATAAAATGACATACGCGGAAATTGAGAGTCACTGGGAGAAATATCAAGAAGATTGGGCCCATAAGAAAATCACATACATAAAGGTTAGACCCAACTTGCATGTAGATTCGGGCTCTGTGTTTCCCACCTTATTCCAAGCCCAAGCCTGAAATGAATATAATCTAGGCCCGAAAAATGTTCAACGTAGCATTAAATAGATCCATCCATCGCTTGCCCAATTCCTTTATGCTGAACGCTAAGAAATTACCGATCAAAGTTATTTTAAGACTATTACTATAAAATACGTTTTGTTAGAGTATATGATATCATAATACATGATCATTAACTTAATTAATTCATAAAGTAAATATTTATATCATAAGAAATAAAAAATTACATTATATTTAAATAATAAAAACTTCACCTTTCATATAATAAAACAAGAAGATGAAATCATAAGTAGCCACAAATTAATTAAACCTACTTAATAATAAATAGTGGTCAATCTCGAGTAGGGAGAAAAAGAAAAAGAAAACTAGGTTGCTTGGCCGCGTTAACAAGAGATGATGGAAAACGCTGGGAAGCAGAGTATGAATAAGTGAATAGACCAAACAACCACATCAAAATTATATGGTCTTAAACCATTCATCTCGCTATTTCCAATTAAATGATAGAAGAGAAATCATGACCCAAATAAACGACGTCGTTTTGCTTTTCCACAAATAATTTAAGTATAGAATGCGTGTTGGGTCCGAGTGAGACTGAGTCCTAACTCTCCAGACACTTTATATTCTCCAAATCTCCACCGTTTCGCTCCAAACATTTTCTCAATGGCCCAACAAAAGAGGCTAAGAAACATCGCTCACAACCTCAAAGACAAAGCCTCGGTCATCGCAGCAGCGCTATCAATCAAGCGCCACGTGTCATCCGTCCGCGTCCACGTCATCCGCGCCACCACGCACGCCCTCGCCGCCCCTCCCTCCGACGATAAAATCGCTGCCGTCCTCGCCGTCGGGCACGGCTCCCACCTTCTCCCGCGCGCCTGCATCAACGCCCTCATGGACCGCCTGCACCATACCGGAAGTGCCACGGTGGCACTCAAATGCCTCTTCACACTCCACAACGTGGTCGTGAAGGGACCCTTCACTCTCAAGGACCAACTCTCCTGTTACCCTTCCTACGGTGGCCACAATTTTCTTAACCTTTCAACTTTCCGCGACGACTCGGACGTGGAATCCTTAGAACTAAGTTCCTGGGTTCGTTGGTACGCGAGAGTTTTAGAACTGAGCTTATCGGTTTCCAGAATCTTGGGTTATTATTTGAACTCTTCTTCAACCTCAACAACCCAAGACAGAAAGTGTTTGGTTTTGCGGAATTCAAACGCTGATTTGTTGTACAAACTGGAGTGTCTCGTTGTTTTCGTTGAGCAAATAAGTCACGTGCCTGAGTCTTTGCACCTTCAGAGGAACGAGTTGGTGTACGAAATAGTGAGGTTGGTGGGTGAAGATTATGGGAGCGTGCAGGGTGAGATTTTGGTGAGATTGGAAGAACTTGGGAACAGGATGGAGGAAATGGAAGTGAGTGAGTTGAACGAGTTGGCTGGTTATTTGAGAAGATTGGAAAAGAGTCAAGAAAAGTTGGTGCTTTTATTTGTGAACAGGAGAAAGAATAATGGGTTTTGGGATTTGATTGAAAAGACTAAAACGAAGGGGGTGAAGAAGAAGGAAGAGATAGAAGGGAAGTGGCTCACGGTGGTGACTACTAGCGCCGCCGAGTTGACTCGGTCGACAAACCCGTTTCTTGAGCCGGGGCAACTCAGTCCGGTCCCACGGTTAAGTTTTGCAACGGTAAGATGACAAGTGGCAACGGTCACTTTCATGAAGGAGGAAATTACTTTCATTTTTTTGTCCCTTTATTTTGTGGGAATCCGCAGCCTGCACCTTCGGTGGGGAGTGTGGGCACATACTTTTTTGTTTTTCTTTTTTATTTTCTTTCAATTGGTGTGGGGTTCGCTGTCTGTCGTTGTGTGCATAATTAAAGTGAAAGACAGATATTATCATCTGCATCATCATTTCTGTAACAAAATTAAAGGAAGAGATTTAGGAGAGTTTTTTTTGTTTTTTTAAATGGAATTGTATAAGCAGACGTGAGATGGACAATTGGTTTCAATTAGTTCAAGTTCTTTTTCTTTCTTTCAATGTTCAGATTTTAGATAACTGATTAATTTTTCATCATTTATAAAGCTCTCAACCCATTTTTCAGAACTATAGTTTTCATCTACCCTAAAGGTTCTCTCTTTTCATTAAATGAATAAAAGTCAACAAGCCAAAGTTTATTGTGAATTATTGCGAGATACTACCAAGCTCATTATCTAACGAAACCAACCTGTCAAACTTCAACATGCAACAATTTATCATTTTTCATTATCTAGATATCGAAGTCATCGTCTTGAAATGATCAAAATATACTAAATGTAATTGACAAGAAACATAACAAAGTTAGTGAGCGGTTATAAAATATTGAATGAAATTCATGTTAAAGTAAGAAAATATTTCATCATGGCCACCATCATTGGACGAACTATTTAATAAAACAAACTCATAGTTTTCATACTTCAAAGTCCGTAGCACAAAAACAAATGTGCCTTCTGAATATGCTTCTGATTGATTATAGACAAAGCCCTATATCTTAAACACCAATACACCAGAAGATCTCAAACCCGTTAGATATTACCTTACGGATTGGAGAGCTTCACGTGACATATTGATTCAGTATTTTGTTTGTCTGTCAGTTCTACCTACGTATCTCATCTACTGGACGGGCTTGTTGGGCCTCTCCTTGCAATAATCGTTTGTTAGCATATTTCTTCTTCACCGGGCCTTGTTTTGAATGCCTCCGGGTTTGACTTCTTTGGGCCTGAGTTGGAAATCCGAAGATCTTTACACGAAAAAAAAAATCCTAGTTCTAATGAACTCGAGCCTAATCCCATTACGTACACTACCTTATCGATTGAGGAGTGAAATTAAATTAGTATTAAAAAAAACTCAGTACAATAATTTTTTACAGTGATACTAGTGGTGTGGTGTCTTTGTGGGACCTAAAGCGCCGCATGGTGTGCAGTAACGCTAATTTAATTTAGCCCCACTATAATGTCACTGACCTAACCGAAAATGAAATTTGGAGAAACTTTTGACATTGGTGCCTCTGTTAGGAATAAGGAATAAGGTAGAATTTTTTGCAAGGTAAATAAAATTACATTTTTAGAAATATTATGATCAGATGTCACTCTTAGGTATATTGAAAAGAATCTTTTGTTAAACACCCTTGTTAGGTAAGTTGAAAAACATCATTCATTGAAATAATTTTGAATGATAGAAAAAATAGTAGTAATTGGATAGTAGTTCCTATATAAGTTGAAGCATTTTTAAGAGTTAACAACTTCGATTATTACCAAAACTTTGTATTTAACATCAACTTTAGTTTCTTGTTAATTAATGTAATTACGAAATCATTTATTTTATTTTGCGTGCAAGGTTTCGCAAGTGGTTTGTAATAAATTAAGAAAAAAAATCATATTTCAATTCCTGTAAAAAAAAAAAAAACTAATCGAAACTCATATTTACTCTAGTTATTCGTCAAAAAACTGATAAGAAAAATATATTAATATGTTATTATTTGTTTAATTATCAATTACTTTCCCACTCGTATTATGTACGTAGTTGATAAAATGATTTAGAGGAAAATTTACTTTTACTTACTAGTTCTTTTAAGAGTTTTAAAATCAATTATTTCTTGATAAAATGATTACCAAGCATGAACCGAATCACCTCGAATCAACTAATTTCATCCACCACTCATTTTCTTTTAATTAAATTAACTCTTCCATATTTCTTAACAATTCGAATGCTAAATTAATTAATTTAATTATTGCATTTAAAAATTTTAACCAAATAAATAAATTTTATAAAAATAAAATTATTAAATAATTTATCATGTTACCTTATTTTAATATGTAATATATTTTTAAAATATAAATATATACAAATTTTAGATACATAATGATAAAAGATAATAAAAAATGATTTAATGATGAGATCGGTCAATCACGCTTTTTATAACAAAAATTAACTTCAATTCATCGGATATGTTTAAATTGTACATAATAAATTTCCATGCAGGGTTTAAATTACTACACAAGTATATATGGTAACATATCTATACTAAAGAATTTCTAAGCAGGGCTAATATGATTAACAATTTGGGTGAATTTAAAGAATAATACATACATGCAAAACACCAGCAACAGACCCCAGACTGGTGAACGGGCAAATTGCATTGGCCAAATCGAATATTAATTGGAGGTCTCCACTTGTCCATTGGAGTTAGATTTTGACCATTTATTGACACGAGAGTAAGCTTTCTCGGCCTGCAAATGCAATTAATTAAAACAAAAATACAAGAATAAGCACACGATACTGATAACATGGGTATAGGATTAGAAAGAACTAGTTTATTTTTATGTTGAACTCTACCTCCTTTTCCCAGTTACATCGCGCAGTTACTATGATCAGTATCAGCGTTTGGATGGCGGTTCCACCAAAGATCATGCCCCCCCAGATGCCCTGCCACATGCATAATAACACCATTATCATGTTAATTATGAACACAAATGTTTAGATGTGGTAATTAAGTAATAGAATATACGTACAGTGACACCACTTTTGAAGACCCATCCCATGAGAATTCCGAGTGGGAGCCCGATAACGTAGTAGCATCCTATGTTAATATATGCTACGAATGCTTGCCATCCCGAACCAACAGCCACTCCTACATATTATATTACATATGATGATGACAATTACACTTCAAGATAACAAATTAATTAATAAGCCGAACACCACACATGTAAGTCTTGGGGAAGTAGGGGACCAACTTAAACTAAGATTCCGTACGTATCTTTTTAAATTACTATAAAAGTTCAATAATTTAATGGGTTAGGTTGGGTTCCTAATTTAGGAATTTTAATTAGATTTCTTCGTCCAGTTTTTTTGGAGGATCCTGTATGTAATGAGATGATGATATTATTATTTACCTGACAAAATGGGTTGAACACTGTTGAGAAGAATGGTGACCGCTAGCAGTAATGCCATATCGTCAACAGCTTCAAGTACAGAAGTACTGGTGGTGAATATGTATGCAAACTGGTCATGGAATATCATTATGAGAGCGCAGAAGATGAGCCCGATCACTGTTGATTGTACCACTGATACTTGAGTTGCAAATTTTGCTGCTTTCCCGTTGCCTGCTCCTAGCTCATTTGCCACCCTTACCCTGTAAATAACATAAGCATGGTTCAATTCGATGAAATTAATAACACACATCTATATTGTAATTTCCGTTAATTAAAAATTTATATATACATATTATAATAATTGAACATATGCAAACTATTGTAAACCAATATTAACAATAAATAATCATTTTTTTAAATATAATTGACCGAACACACGTTAATTTATGGGGAAGACATTATTATCTATACAAAGTTAGGTAACTATTCTTTTCATTTGTCAAGTAATAGAAAAAGGTAGAAACGACTTTGAAAATTAAAGGTCAATCCATGATTAAGCAGATGCTATTTATATGCTTTTCTTATCCAATTCATACTGACAAGACACAAGAACCAGGATCCTGCCTCATAATATCTAATGATAAGTGTAAATGAAATAATATATTTTACATATTATTTAAATATTTTAGGATATAACACATCCATACTAAAAGGAATGGAAATCTACTTGGCCACGCCATGCAATTCCAACTTTTTGCCCAAAAAGAAGAGATAAAGGAAAACATAAAAGATAAATATGAAGTTACTCGTCGAAGTAGAATACCCAGGTCATTGCCATAATTTTTTGCATGAAATTTTTTGCCCGCAAATCTTTATACAAAAAATATTTACACTTCAATTTTAAAAAGTACTCGTTAGTTTTTAAATGTTTTATTTACCATCAGTTTTCAAAAAAATGAAAAAGATGTCAGTTATTTTTAATTTTTAACTCATATAAAATTTAAATAAATAATATTTTAAAGCAAAAATAATATAAGAAATGTAAGGGGAATGTAAACGATGGTGACTAGTGATATATCAGATATCTGTGAGAATTTTTCCATGAAAGATGGTTTTACACCTCCTCAGACAACTTAAACACGGAAAGTTAGTCCACAATAAATCAAGAGTTCGGGAGAGAGGGAAGAAAGTGCATGTCAGTATATCTATCTATAAGAATCGCACTTTTCTGGTCTATAATAAATAATCATTATATTATATTGAGTGTGCGTTTATATTGAAATATTTTATTAATTATTTTCAAAATTTTATAAAAAACATTTAATTTTATTTGAAACTTAAAAAATTATAGTTTTTTATTTTTAATAAATAAAACTTTAAATTTTATTATTAAAAATTATTTATTTATTTGAAGTTAACTTTTTATTTTTTATTTAAATCACAAATATCATCTATAAAGAGAGGTAATTCTCCACATGTCTAGTTTTCTAGGGTTTATATTCAGTAATTAATTATTTAAATACAAAATTAATACATATAATTTATTTTTAATTTCACCACAAAAAAATAATTTTTGCAAACAATTTATATATAATAATTATTTTAAAACTACAAGTCACTTAACATATCTAAACATAGATTTTATATTATATAAAATTTATCACAATATTTAATTATAAATTTAATTAATTATTAAAATAAACCTTTTAACTAGTTCATAAACAAATTTAAATTATAAACCAAAAATAATAACTTTTAATTTTAAAAATAAATAAAATACCTTCTAATTAAAAGAGGGAAAAAAAGAACTCAACAACTTACCCAACACCGGCGAAGAATGCCAGAGGAATCATCATCTCCCATCCGTTTATTGTCATACTGCAAAACCAAATCCAAAGCAACCGTATAGTTAAAATTCATTAAAAAAAGAAAATAAGTTATTTTTACACTTTTTTATGATATATTTTTATAGCAATATTTTTCAATGCGCCAGTTGTTTTAATTTATATGCATTTTATTTTTCCTCGTAATTATAAAAAAATATAATTTTTCAAACATATGAAGCGTAAATTAGACGCAAATGGAAGATATAAAATTATAAGGAGCAGAATTTCTATGCAATAATAAAAAAAAAAACATTTGTTATATTGTAATTATTACAGTAGAGGAGGATGAGAAATATAACGAAAATAAGCCCAAAAGAAAAACATAAAACAAATATTAAAGAAAGTAAAAGTAAAGAAAATAAAACAAAAAAACTTTAAAATATTATAGACAAACCAGTTCAAACTACTTACCACACTGACAATGCATCGACAGCAATAGTGGCATTCTCCAACTGGCCTGTCATGAGTACCAATATCCTGTAGTACCAGTTTTCTAAGCTGCATCAACATTCAGCATTCAGCCATGTAAATTAGCACAACGTTAAAGGGGGAGAACAACTCAAGAAACAAAGAAACCATAATACCATAACATGACCCCAGAAGCAGCAGAGAGTTTGAGGAACTCCCAGAGTCCAGAAAATGCTTCCATGGAAAAACCAGTCCAAGTTAAAGGGCATCCACCATAGGCAGTGTAAGCATACATACCAAACACCAAAACCCACCACGAAAGGTCCAAAGCAATAGCCGCACCATAAAGTCCAAAATCCCACACATACATCAAGAGCCAGCTGGTGACAACATTAACCACCAAGCCCAGCAACGAAACCCAAGCAATAACAGCGGTTTTGAGCTGGCACTGAAGAAACCTCTGCAGAGGGAATTGAAAAGCGAAACTGAAGTGCAGAGGAATGAGCCAAACTGCCACAACCCCACTCCACTCTGCCACGTCATCTGGTTGGCCAAGGAATTTCAGAAGCGGGGTGGCGAAGACGTAAAACGGCAACAACAAGAAACAGCACATGAACAGAACAATCCATGACCTCTGCATGTATATACCCATCATGTGGTATCTCTTCGCCCCAAACGCTTGCCCGCACAGTGTCTCCAACGCGCTCGCCATCCCCAACTATTCTCAACCACAACACACAAATCAAAATATTTGCTGTTAAAAAATGGGGAATCCAATTTGTTGGACTCGATTTGACTTCTGAAAAAAATATAATAAATATATATTTTTCAAATACTTAAAGTATCTCATGTTTCATAGTTTTATTATTTTCAAGAATAAAACTGAATTAAAAAAAAAAAAGAATTAACAAAATTGGAACTAAATAGAGAGAGGACTTACTAGAAGGCCGAAATTGAAGCCAACGATGACGGTGTTAGCAATAGAGATGGAAGCGAGTTGAACTTCACCGAGGTGACCGGCGAAGGCTTGGGTTACGACGTTCATGGTGAATGCAGCGATGCGGCTGAAGATAGAGGGGCCGACAATGAGCCATAGCTTTTTGGTTTCAACCCAGAGCTTGTTGCGAAAGGGTTGTTCATCTTGAGATTGAATCGGAAGGTCTTTAGGTAAGAGGGATTGGGTGAGATTATTGGCATGTTCATGGTCTCTCTCTAGGCTCCCCATGGCTTGAGAAGAATAGAATCTTGAGTGAAAGGGACTTTATCGGCGACGTGGTTTACGCTTCTATAAACATAAAGAAAATAACGATCCTCATCTCCAAATTGGATTGCTCATTGTTATATCCCACGTGTGTGGTTACGCCTCCCTTCAAAACTGTTCCCACCTATGCCTGCCATCTAATGTTTTTGATATTTTTTTATATGATATGATTCATATTTATTTATATTTTAATATGCTTCCTCCTCATATGTATCAAGGCGACACTCATTGCATGTAAGACAAATGTCAAGTGTGCAGTTTACTTTCCCAATTTAAATTATTCATTCTCCCCATATCACTTAAATCCATTTTCGTGATTATTCATGAATATAATTTCGGTAGCTTTTTATTTTAGTTTTAATTATATATATTTTTTATCTTTCTAAATTAGCACGTGATGTGCAATTTTGTATTTGTTTAATTGCTTTGAATCGCAAGTAATTAATACTTGATTGTGAGATCTTCAAGAAGATAAGTGGAAGTTAAAACTTAATCAGCTTTAAAGTTGGTATGAATTATTTTATTCATATACTAAATACTTGTTTTGAGACCCACATAATTAGTGATCATTAGTATAATAAAAACGACATGAAAATTTGAGAACAAAAGTGTATAATAGATTCTACCCTCTCTTGTTCTCCAGATGTTGTGTCCAAGGGCCAGTGGAGACGATAAAATACGAAATAATATGATATAAAATTTAAATAAAAATAAGCTATAATAAAAATAAAATATTTATTTTATTTTATATTTAATATATCAATCTAAATTTATTATTATTTATTATATTTATTTTTTTTCTAAAACTTTGTTGGCATAAATCAATATATCATATATTCAATTAACAATATATATCACTTCACTGTTATAAAAAGACTTTCTACAATATGTTTTTACATTAATTAACAAGTAACCAATTTAATTAAAATGCAGTAATTTTTTTAAAATTAATAGAAACTTTTTAATATCAGTTGTAAAAATAACTGATACAGAACATATTTTTGTCATTAGTTGTTTTTTATTTGAAATAGAAAGTGGAGCAAATAGAAAAATAGAGAAAATATTGAAATTTTGAAAAAAAAATTGTGCAAACTTCTCTCTTATGAAAGTTTTGAGTTGGATAAATCTAAAAAAATTATATAAAATAGATATATAATATTTATAAATCGTAGATTTGTACTAAAAGTTATATTGATTCAAAATTTATGACTAAAATTTTAAAATTTTTTATATTAATTATTTTTGAAATTAATGTAAAATTAATTCAAAATAAAAATATTTCATTTTCGTGTACTTTGTACTTTCTGCATTAATTGATGTAGAAAGAATTTTTTATATCGATTCTAAGAACACTGAATATAGAAAGGCTTTTTTCACATTGATTTCAAAAAAATTAGCGTAAAAAAATACTTTTTACCATAGTTATTTCTAAAAAAGATATAAAACTAATTCAAAATAAAATATTTTAAAGGCACATGACGATGAAATAGCATAAATTAAAGTCAAAGAATCCAAATTTTTACTGACATTTTCAAATTTTTGGTAAGATTTTTGCTTCATTTTTTGTTGTCCTCCGTCATTAGCAAACACAATTTTTTATACAGGTATATCAATTATTTTACTTAGCTCGATTCTCTATCTTTACTTTTTCATTGACGAACGTTATATATTTTTTATTAACAAACATAGAATATTTTTTTATTTAAAAACTATCAATAAATATCAACAAAAAATTGACACAAACACTAAATATTGATAAACCTTAACAAAGAACATTACATATTTTTTATTTATAAATTTAACAAAAATTAAATATTGAATAAATATTAACGTGTAAAAAAACAAATATTAAGACTATTAACATTAATAAATATTGTTAAACTATATGAGGAACACCGATTAACATTAATGAAAGGAAAGAACATTTTCTTCATCGTTTGTGTGGGTTCATCAGCTTAAGTTAAAAGTAATTTTTAACTGATGTAAAAGAATTTTTTTTATACTAGTGCTTTGAGTTGAATCATAATTTTAATAAACAATATATTCAGTTACTGCATCACAAAAGTTAAATTTGATAAACACTTTATTTATAAAATCGCGAATCATAATTTTAGAAATAAAATAGATACATACGGGAAAAGAAAAAGCAAAATGCGAACCATATCAGTACATCCCGTTTCAGCCATTAAAAATACATTTCAAGGGATAAAAAATTGATAGGGAAAGCATCATAATTGTGTGATTGAGGTGGTGTTTTAAGAGGCAAAGGATAAAAATACATTAAACAGAGTAATATTTTCAGTAAATACGAATTTCACCGTTGTTATCTGTTGGGCGATGCCTCCTCTATAATAAGAACCTGGGCTTTTCGTACCTACCAACAAGTAACCACACGGCTGTTACCAGTTTCTACGGTCACAAGAACACTATATGTCACTTCAACAGTGGTATATAATAGACTGTGTGTACTTTTAAGTAAAGAACAGAACTAGATATGTGATTGAAAAAATGATGTCTTACAATTTAATTTAAATGGATGAAGAACGAATCCAAAGAAAATAAAACAAAACGGTTCCTTTCCGTGATAAAAGGCTATGCGTGGAAAAACATACCTCTTTGTCCCAATCATATCTCATCGTGATCAAAGTCAAGATCAATGTTTGAACCACCGTTCCACTCATCATTCCAGTCCACATACCCTGCACGTAGAATAAATATATCATCACCGTTCAAAAATCTTAAAATAACTGTACCGGATAGGCATTATTCAGTTTTCTCCCAAAAAAAAACCGAATACCCCTTGTCCACATTCTTAGACCAGGGTATCAACACTCCTTCGACTTTATCCTAGGATCAGAGGTATCAAATAACCTCGGCCCTGTTATACCAACAGTTATTAAGTTTTTTATACTAATTTTTTATTTAAAATTTTAAACAGTATTTTGAAGGTACTGGTTAGCAGTTACCGAGTAGAATATTCAGTTCTGTGCAGCATTACAGGTACACTTACAACAATACCCGAAGGTAGCAACGAGCCTAGGAGAATCCCGAGAGGTATTCCAACCAAGTAGTAACTACCAACGTTTATATAAGCCACCACAGCTTGCGAACCACATCCAACTGCTACCCCTGTTTTGGAAAGAAAGAGAAAGTCATATTTCTGTATTGAAGCTGAATATCGTGTGTATTATTGTTGCATTCAAATAGAATCGGAGAGTATATTTGTATATATACAGCTGCATATATGAAAAAGGGAAGTTTAACTACCTAAGTGGAAATAAACGAACTGACTAACAGGTTAAATAGAATTTGCATATTTAATCTGAATATTTGTTATTATTCTCTAATACTGCTAAAAAGAATGTATATTCTGTGTGTTGTTTTTATTCAATGCTGATACATATATTTATACATACAATTCACAAAGGTACTAACAAAACTGACAACTAGCTAAATGAGGAAACGACAGATATCAGTTCCTAAGTTTATGCTAACAATTAAATAAAGGGATCAATTACAATCATTCCAAATTACACGCTTGATATGTTGCGGATAGAGCTGGATGTGCATCATATGTGGGCATGATTCTCTGCATCATATGTGGGCGTGATTCTCTCATTAAATACCTTAAATCCAATAGATACCAGCACTAGGACGAAAACAACAACAATCAAATCTTACTCGATAAAAAACTAAATTTTTAAAATTATTATTTAATCAAAAGATGTCTACGATAGAAATTGTATCTCCAATTCAGAAATTCAAAGTTGAGTTGGGTGTTAATAAAGTGTACTATTAGATACTCACCTGAAAGAACTGGTTGAATGCAATTAAGAAGGATAGTAAAGGCTAACAAGATTGCCAGCTCATTGACCATTTGGATAACAGACGAGCTCGACGTAAAGATCAACGCAAGCTGCTCATTGAAGACCACAATTATCAACCAAAATATAAATCCCACTAACACAGTATTTACCACTGAAACAACAGTGGCAAATTTTGCCCCTTCTGCATTGCCTGCGCCAAGCTCGTTTGCTACACGCACCCTGTGTTGAAGAATGTTAGATGAATAAAATGGAGAAAATTTTAGTTGTTTTGTGCTGAGGCAATCAGGCAGAGTGTTTTCCTCTTCTTTTTTTCCATGAAATAGATGAAATTTTTACTTATTTGCTTAGACATAGATAATGAAGATATCATGTTTGATATTATTTGCAGAAACTAGTTGGCTGTTACGACGACTAGCTTATGTTGCATCAAAGAATAAAAGCATGTACTTTTACAGCTTACCTTTGCATTGATCAATATTGACTCCAATAAGGCCAGTAGATTATTGAGAAGTTCCATTGAAATTAAAGGAAATAAGGTAGATTTCTGATTAAAATATTGGAAAGAGAAAGCTTGACAACTTTCTTAGATACTTTTGAACCTTTGATTAACTTTGGAGGATGTTGTAATTTTTGGAAGCATGAAAAATCCTCAGATACTTGTTAAATATTCTGAATGTTTAATTTACTAAACTTGAGGCAGGATCTGTCAATCTGTCTAGCGATGTTAAAATGCAATTAGACCAAAGATAATTTAACTTGAGGGAGAGTTAGATAATAAAAAGCCTCACCTATATTAATGAGTTAGCAATCAATTAAAGTGTATAAGATGACTATAAGGACCTGTTTGGTAGTCAAGATAGGATAATTTATCCTATCTTATTTTATTTTTGGTATTTGTTGAACAACAAGATGACTCATCCTAACTCTAAATTGTCAAGTTTGTATAAAATAAACAGATCACTCATCCTTGCGGTTTACTCTCTTCCTAAGCTTGAATCGAAACCCAATCAAAATTCTAATACATAACAAAACGAGATAAAAACAGTACGTATTCAACTGCCGCACCACCACTGGTATATACAATTATCTCCAATCACATCTTCGCAACACTCTCAAAAAGCAAATTGAAGTTCTAGATATTACCATTGTACTTTCTGTCTCGTCATAATCAATCAACACGACTGCGCAAGGATGGTTTTGTATTTATTCACGGGTTCTGATTCAGAAGACTAATTCAATTTGACTATTAGTACATCATATAATACGCAACTCTTGGGACCCCCAAACTGTACCGCTCAACTAACTAATGTCTCAATCTAGCTAACGAGGAGTCTAGTCTTGGAGGGTTTGAATATTGCTTGGAGACTAGGATTCAAACGCATTAAGTTGCAATTAGATTCTTTGGTGGTAACTAAAGTCATTATAAGCAATGAAGAAGGGAGCTATCAAGGTAGTCAAAAGGATAAGAGACTTTCTTGAGTTAGATTGGCAGATTGAAGTTACCCACATCTACAGGGAGGCCAACCTTTGTACTGATACGTTTGCTAATATGGCTTGCAATCATAACTTAGTGCTATTAGTTTATTCTCAATCTCCAACAGAACTAGAGCAACTATTGCTTCATGATGTAATGGGTGTTCCTACACCCGTTGTATCCATCTGTAATCTTTTTCTTTTAGGACTTTAGCCTCCGTTGTTACCAAGAAAAAAAAAAGTTTTCTCCTAACTAGCAATCCATAGTTACCACATTTTAAGAGAGAAATAAAGGAAAACTTACAACCAGTGACATACCCGGTTGCAGCCAAAAATGCAAGCGGTATCATTGATTCCCAACCATATATAGTTACACTGCCATGCCAGGTAAGAATTTAATTCAACAAAAATCCAATAAGTGTATCCAATGCACAGTGCAATTAAAATACGGTTAAAAGAGAAAAAATTACCAGACGGAAAGAGCATCGATCGCAATCTCAGTGTTGTGCATATACCCAGACACTATAAGCAAAAGTCTGTAATAAAAGTTCTCTAACCTGCAATATTACATTAATACGCCATTCTAAGAATCACATTAATCTCAAAGTTAAGGAACTATGTATAACTAAGTGGCAGATAACATATAACATATACAATGACACTAACGCAACCATGACCCCAGAAGCGAAAGAGAGTTTGAAGAACTCCCACAGGCCAACAAAAGCTTCAGCAGAAAAACCAGTCCAAGAATGAGGACACCCACCAAAGATGGTATACCCAAGCAATCCCAAAACCGAGAGCCACCAGGAGAAACCAATGGTTAGTGCAGTTCCAACAATCCCAATTCTCATCTTCTCGACAAAAACCCAACTCACTAGCACATGGATGGCAAGAGCTCCCCCAGAAACCCAGGCTATGATAGCGGTCTTCAGCTGGCACTGCAAGAACCTCTGCAGCGTGAACTGAAACGGGAAGCTCAAGTGAAACGGTATCAACCAAAAGGCCACCACACCCGCTTGCTCCGCCACCGCATCGGGTTGTCCTATGAACTTCAATAGAGGCGTGGCGAACAAGAACATGGGCAACATTAAAACGGATGACATAAATAGAACCACCCACGAACGTTGTAAGTAAATGCCCAACATGTGCTGCTGTCCCGCGCCGTAAGCTTGCCCGCAGAGTGTCTCAAGCGCACTCGCCATACCCAGCTAAAAGGGGAAAAGAAAAATGCCATTAACGTTGACACTTTTTATTAATTTTTTTTGGTAAAGAGGCACTTTTTTGATTGATTATTATTTAAAATATCAAACTATTTATTTTTATCAATTAATTATTATTTAAAATATTGTTTAAAGTTTTAACTTTCAAAAAATAAGAGTAGTAATGTGAAATGTGTTCAAGAACGTTGACTAAAATATAATGGTAGCATTCCTGAAATGGAAAATAGCAAAAGAGAAGTGGTAACTAATATTCTATTGTTTACCAAGAAGCCGAAGGTAATGGAGATGAGAACGGTGCAGGCAATGGAGATGGCGGCGAGATCGAGGTCACCGAGGTGGCCGGCGAAGGACTGGGTGACGACGGTGATGGAGAACATGGCGAGGCGGCTGAAGATGGAGGGTGCAGCTATGTGGCAGAGTTTCCTGGATTCGGAACATGTTCGTTGGAACAGAGAGAGAGAGGGTGGCGTTGACTGTATCAGTGGACGCTCTGTTTCTGCTTCGTTGAGGACATTTCCCATAGCTTTGGATAGAGAGATATTTGGAATAAAATGAAAGATGTTAGAGATATAACGCGACTTCGTTTTTTATTAAGAAGTAAACTCTTAATTGAGTCTTTAAAATTGGAAGCATTAGTCACTTTAATTTTTTATTTTATAAATTTTTAATTTTTTAAAATACCATTCATTTGTTTATTTAATTTTTATTATTATTTTGTATGAATTAAATTACTAAAATAAATCTTATCTTATAAAGTCAATAATTAAAATGAAGAATTTGTAAGGTTATAAATTAAAGTAATTCACAGTTATAATTTAAGAAATTAAAATAAAATTAGTCTACCTGTAAGACACGTACATATAGAATAAATATCACTGATATATATTATTGAAAAACATGCGTTACTAGTAATTTTTAACATATTCATTGTCAATTTTTTTAAAAAGTAGAGTACTTTTTCGTATATTACTTTTGATCTTATTTATAAGAAATTAATATTAAATTTTTTAATACAAATTATACAAAATAATTTTTTTAATATATATTAATTAATTTATAATTTTCACTAATTTATTATGAATTTTGTTTATCAAACTAATCACTCTTAGTGAACATATTTTTTTATTTTATATACAGTATTAATTAATATTATAAGTAGTTTTAAAATAAAACATTATGAAATAAAACTAATTTTATTTATCTTAATGAATTAAGTATTTATTTTGATAATACTCATACAACTTGCTTTAGGCGTTGAAAATAATGCTCCCAACGAGATCTAAAAATTTGCACTTATTAGTTATAAAGTTGAATATTGCAGACTCTATTGTGTATGATCCACGGATTTTGAATTAGTGGATGATTACTACATATCTAAACATTAGGATTGAACTAAATGAAATTATTCAAATGCATTATATATATATATATATATATATATATATACACACCAACTCGTTCATGTTCCAGGATTTATGTATTTCATGAACACTTTGTATTTTAATTTAAATTACGTATAATTTTAATTTCTCAATTTCATTTAAATTAAATATTTTTTTACCTAAAATGCTTAAATTTGTACTAAAAATATATTAAATTAAATTAATTATATTATTTCTCACTCAAAATTAATAGACTAAAATATTAATTTTATAAAAATAAAAAAAAATCTCTTTATACTTTGATATCACATCGTATAAAATAATTTAACGTTTTATCAAACTTCTATTAATTTTCTTTTGTTCCAAACTACTAAAACTATTTCATGGTCCAATTTTATTATGAACTCCAAAAAAATTTAAAATTGAAAAATTTAACAAAAAATAATAAAAATATTAAATTTATATAATATTTAAATAAATATTTATATAACTCTAAAAAAATTTAAAAAAATAAGATCGTATATAATCCAAAGTAAAAAAACTAAAAAAGTAACTAACGTATAATATTTATCTAACAAGATTTAAATGATTAATATAAATATTAGTTATTAATTTAAACTAATAATGGAAACCTTACTCTAACATCTAACATATTCATAATATATATATATATATATATTTTATAGGTAAAATATATATTATTTTGAGGAACTCAAAACTCATATACACAGAAAAAAAAAATTACTTACTCAAAGAAATAAAAAACAAAAATATATTTATATAAACTTAAAACGGATGCAATTTCGTAGATTGAAATATCAATCAGCTAACAAAATAATTTTTCACTTACTAACAAGTGATAGCCATTTCCAGAACCTCAGAATAATAGAATCTAGGACTTTCCTTTTATCCAAAATATCATTGGAAAACAAAATTTTATTTCTATGTAACCACAAAGACCACATTGTACTTACCCAAATAATTAATAAGCATATCCCTTCTCTTTTACTATAACCAACACCAACCCAAGAAAGCAAGTGAGTCGATACATCTGAAGGCAAAACTAGTGAGAATCTAAGCCAACGCGCAGTAAAGTATCAGATTTGAGATGAAACTAAGCACGTTAAAAATAAATAAGTTGAAAGTTCCTTCAAATCATGACAGAAGCAACAAGTTATATCATCAATTTAAACACCACGATCAATCAGCAAACATTTACAAGGAAGTGCATTTAACAACAATTGCCAAAAAAATACCAGACACTTAAGAGAGACCTTTCATCTCTATAGCTTTTGTAAGGCATCTGTCGTACACTGATCTACACTATTAGGACCACCAAAAAGTTCAAACAGTCATGAATATATAAATTGCACTGAATAACAATATGAAGAATCTGCCTTCCATACCCATTTACCTTCTTATAGTAACTTAATAGAAACTTTATCTACGAGCTCCAACAAAAGATTAAAGCTTGAAAACCATTTTTCAATACACATGATTCAGCATTCCTCGCCACCGCAAACAATTGCGAAAATGCCTCACACAATCGCACCCCGCCTACCAACTTATCTCTCCAAAAAAGAGTGTGTAAACCTACACCCACACTCTTATCAAACTTCTTATCCAATTATGAATTTCCTTGATAAATAACCTCCAGCAAATCACGTTATCACAAAGAACATCTGTTGTGGACTGATGAACGCTGAATAGAAAAAGCTAATCTTCCATACCTAGATTTCAATACTCACACCCACAATGAACTAGAACAATTAACATCTCGCCACAATCATTTACCAAGAAGCGCCCAGTTAAACCACTACACATTCCTAATGCCCAGGCCACATCATTTCCCATTTCACCCAGGAAATGTTAGATCCATCCTTAACACCCTTCCATAAAAAATTTCGTTGGATAGTGACAATCTCTTTTATCACCGACTTCAGCACCTTAAAAAAGGATAACGAGTGCAATGACATAGAATTAAGAACGACATTAATCAATGTCACCCTGCCTCTAATCGATAAATACTTATGCTTCCATGACGCTAACCTCTTTTTAAGAGCCTCTATCACACCCTTCCATGCACTAGGCTTTCTTGGGTTAACACCTAACTGTAACCCGAGATACTTTAATGGGAAACTACCAATCTAATAATGTAGGAACTCCGCAGCCAAGTTTTCAAAGTCATCACCAATGTTAATTTCCAATACACAACTTTTATGAAAGTTAATTTTCATACCTGACATTAATTCAAAGCTACGCAATACTGCTTTCAAAGTCTATAAATTCTAAACCGAAGCCTCTCTCATAATCAATGTATCATCCGCAAACTGTAACAAAGAAATATCTGGTCCCCCTATCCCAATCTTCACACCAGAGAACAACCCACAAGTCACTGCTTTCTGCATAAGAACTTCTAACCCTTCCGCTGCCACAAGAAAAATGGGCAAGAGGATCCCCTTGTTTTAAGCCCCGCTCAATATGAACCTCTAATGTAGGACAATCATTAATTAAAGCTGATAAGCTACCCCCCCCCCACACACAAGCTTCCATCCAACTGACTCATTTTTCTGAAAATCCAAAGCTACGTAAAATAAACAAAAGATATCCCCACTCCACTGAATCATAAGTCTTCTCATAATCAAGCTTTAACACAAAACACATCTTGTTATACCTTCGCACATAATCAACTGCTTCATTAGCCACAAATACACTATCTAACATGTTCCTTCTCGGGATAAAAGCTGATTGTTCTTCTAAAATTATTGAATCCAAAACTCCTTTCAACCTGTTTGCCAAAAGCTTGGAAACAATCTTATAAAGACAATCTAATAATGAGATAGGCCAAAAATCATATATCTGTTGTAGGTAAGACACTTTTGGCACAAGTGCTACAAAGTAAGATAACAAAGACCTAGGTAGTTTCTCATTTCTACAAAATTCAGTAAGTATACCTATCACTTCTTCCTTGATCACTCCTCAAAACCTCTTAAGGAACACAAAATTAAAACTATCAAGCCCTTCATTCTGTAGAACAGAGACTCTCAGTAAATCATTAACATCAATAGTAGGTTGAAGTCAATCTCTACTACCAAAATGAACTGCAAAATAGGACATTACTCCTGCTTTAATCTCATTAATCTCTTTTACACATCTCTCTCCAATTTGAAGCGCATGAATATTATTTCGTCGCCTCCTCCCATTAACACACAAATGAAAGAACTTTGTATTTAAGTCACCTTCCTTTCCCCATCTTACCTGAGTTTTTGGGCTATGAAACTCTCTTTATTCTTCCTAGCCTTCCAAATATCACCTACCAATATCTATTGACGCTCCTTCTCCACATCGGAAAGTTTCATCACAGAATTTTTATCATCAATCAAGCTCAACTCAGTTGTCAAATCAGAGATCACCTTATCAACATTTCCAAATACCTCAAAATTTCATTTTTTCAATGCAATCTTAACATTATTCAACCTCTGGCTAGCTCTCTGGGCAACCCATGGAAGGATAATATCTTTTTTTCACGCTTCCTCCACCACCTCCACAACTCCTTTATAAGTCAGCCAACAATTGTTAAATTGAAACGGCTTCGGACTCCAGTTAACCACACTTTGTGCTTAAGAATAATGGGACAATGATCAGATCATAATATATATTGTTTATATCAACAAAATCAATTATTGGTGTTTTATATCATATTATTTATATAAACTCACAATGTTGACATTAATAATTTAATTTTTGTTAAATAAATATTATATTAATATTAGCTAATCTAAATGCGTTGCTATCAGAAAAAAATATAATAAATATCTAAACTTTTATTTAAATTACATCTAATAGTCAATGAAATAATAAATTATAATCTGTTATATATAAATTAAATAAACTTTCATTGGTGTAAAAAAATTCTATTTCATATATATTTAAAAGATTTTTTTAAATTTTCTGATAGAGCGTGTTATTAAATTTTAATTATATAATAAGTAATTAATTTCCTATTATTAACAATCAATTAATAATGTTCATATATTAGCGCACGTTATTAGCAGTATGAAAGGGAAGCCAAGTTGCTGAAGTGGCAAGATTTCACACAGAGGATAACTGCGTTCTATATATTTTCTAATGATAATCAA